GGGGGTAAAGCTGATCTCATTTCAGCACATTAAATATTGTCTCCGAAAGACCAAAAAAAAAAAGAAGAAGAAAATCATCACTGGCTAAATCCTTAGTCTATATCTAAAATTGAATCTGGGATACCATTTTGACGGGAGAAAGAAGTGAAACCGTACAGTTGTGTTGTTTGAAGACGCGGGGGCTTGAATTTGGGGGTCCCTGAATTCTCATTTGAAAGAAATGAAATCGTGAACGAGCTGATAAAGAAAAAAAGAAGAAGAAGAAGAAAAAGGGGGGAAGGGGATGAGCTGAGAGGAAAAAAAAGAGGGAATCACGCCACGGTTGTTTAATGCGCCGCGCCAGTCGGGAAAAGTGATTCACACCGAGGCTTTATTCCCTCCCAGACACACATGAAGACAGTGCGCGTCTCTGTTTTATTTACCACGCATGCATGTGTGGGCCTACAGTGGTCGGCTCTCTGGAGTTCATCGGATGCGGATGTGGGGAAAAGCATCGGCCGTTGCATGCGTCACTGAGAAAGAAGCGAGCCTGCACACACTCGCATCCATCAGGTTCACCTCTCTGCGACGGTCAGTGTGGGCAAGTTTAGTGACTTTCAAACAATGTTCTCAGTCTTTTTTTCTTTCTTTTTTCAATTTATTTGCTGATGACACTCATTCGTTTTTGCACGTGGCAACTTTTCCTGCAGCTCGTAACCTTCAGCCTGATGCTGCATGGTGCTGATGCTGATATAATTCCGCTCTGGAAGAACACGTGCTGTCTTCTTCACCTCATTATATTCATATTTATAAATTACTTAAATATTCCCATGATATTTAAACGTGCATATCCCACATCTTGCACACGTCTTAAATATTTAAACAAAACATTTTTTGAATAATATTTGTAATTATTATTATCTAAGCAGGCATTAAGACACATGCTAAATATAATTTAAATGTTCCATCCCCAGGTGTCCTCACACTGTAGTCCCTACAGAGATAAAGGTCGTGCTCATCGCTTCGATTTTTTCTTATTGTGTGACTTTTCGTCACATTGTTAGAAAAAAGTCCTCACTGATGTCAGTTTAGTGCCACTCAATCTAAAGGTTTTGGTTGAATTAGGAGTCACATCTTCTGGTGGTTTCAAACTTTTGTCTGAATCGTTCTTAGAGACACAAAGAGTTACAATTATCCAGTGAGACAAAGTATCTTCTTCTTTCTTATCTTAACTATCTTGCGACCCCTCCAAAACCATCGTGTGACCCCTTAAGGGCCCCTAACCCCAGTATGGGAACGACTCTTTTTATATACAGTATGTTCCACATTTAGGCAAGATTAATATTTCTTTCCCGTGCAACCTACAGCTGGCTCGCTAAGCAGCCATACTTTTTAAAAAACTCCCCCCACCCCCCCTTCAGAAGCTGCTACAAGCTTGTGACCACACACTCAGATTAGTCTGCATTATTTCCTCATGCATATTTATTACTGTGCACGTACTGCTTGCTCAGACACCGCCCGTACATTAAGATGTGTCATAATTTCAGTAGGCGTGTGAGACGTCACTCGTGGGTGCTTACGTGTATGTGTGTGTGTGTGTGTGTGTGTGTGTGTGCGTCATGGTTAGCTTTGAGTTATTGTGCTGTCTTTGTTGCTCGTGCACTCTCTCCATGCGGCATAAACTTTCCATACGTCAAATCCTGCGGACGAGTGAGAGTTTTTTCGTTGCTGTCTTTGCTCATTAACACTCCAGATGCCTCTTGAGTCTTTTTTTCTTTACTTGCATCTGCTTTGCCAAAACAAATATGTAATTGCAAAATGCTCAGCATAGATGAGGTGCCATAAAGTCACTGTAGTCAGTGATTCTTTCATTGACTTAATGTCTAAGATGAAGTTATATAATAAGATTTTTTTTATTATGGTGTACAGTGTTTTTTTGTGATACAACAATTCTGCAAACCTGCACATATTGAGTCAAATCTGGATTATATATTATGTCCATTTCTTTATGGTAGAAATACATTTCTACTAGAACACTGACAGGCTGCAGGTATGAAAAGTGTGATACAAAACTTCATATGAACGACCGTTATTATCCATTTATCCGAACTTTCTTAAATAAAGTTGTTGTTCACAGAAAACAAATTGCATCGATTTGTTTTCTTCATCTGATACATTTCGAAACAGTTTTGAAATATTTAGGGTGTTTTCCTGATGCTACGTGATGTATTTCTGCAATTGTTTGAGTAGTGGGGAGCCACACATTGCTTTATCAATTACTTTATCAGTGGTTACACTTACTTGGAAGCCTATTGAGCGTCTGTACAGTGCGAGCTCACATGGGGCTTTAATTGAAAGGTCACATCTTTAATAAAACAATCTCTATGACATGTGATGCCAGAGGACACTCCCTGCTCAAGAATCAAACACAACATGATGACGAGTGCTGAATGGAAAGATGGATACTATCAGATTCCAAGATTCAAACTTAAGTGACTTCCTCTGTTTGTGTCCATAGAGGCTGATCGCAGTCTAAATGCGACCTTACACTTACACACACAGTAATGTTACTTGAATTTGATCCGTTGTGCAGCGGCACGGTTACCATTGAGGATACAATATTTGTGTTTTTGGGGGATTTA